GGAACAGATACTAAGCAATCAGGAATGAGAAATCAACAGGGTGACTTGCATTTAACAAGCATGAACTACAGAAAACATTATTTTTCTCCATCATGAATTTGTAAGCTTCATTCATTACTGTTTCCTGTAGCTTTCATATTAATAAAATTTTTGTTCCTACCACCCTGTCCCCTGTGTAGTAATTTGATAGGACTGTAGTGTCAACAGCCTTCCTTTTAGGGATGGAGAAGTTATGCCGTGGAAACTGCACTATGTGGTAGATAAGAAACATTGTGGAAGGACTATCTCCAAAATATACGAAGGGGAAAACCAGTTTAGGATGGTGGTAATGGTAAAAGGTGTAAAGAAGTAGATCAGAGTTTGCTGTGTGCTTTGAGTAAAAAGGTTGCTGTGCTCCATATTTGGAGCTATGAATGCATGCCATGAAGAGACTGTTACGTTTTCAGTCTTACAGTGGTGTGACTGCTTTGCAAACAGGTCATTCAATTTGCATCATGGGCAAAGGCAGTGTATTGTGGTGGTAATCTATTCAAAGCTGGTTTTCTACTCCTGTATAGAAGCAAAGCTGCCTTCTATACATGCTGCCAAACTAGTATTTCATGAAATTAATAGAGCTGCAGACTCAGGTAACTACTATTGTAGTTTAATGCTGATCTTTCTGCATTTTCAAGTTTGGGTAGTGGCATATCATACTGCACAAGGCTTTCTGGTAGCAGTTGTTTGAACTGTGAATTGTTCAGAAGGCACTCCAGTACGATGCAGTGCCATAGTACTGAAGAATATAATTCTCATGGAACAGCTGTCTAATGCACATTTGATTTACATTAATACCTTGTGAGTAGTGAGAGATGACAGCATCAGATTCATACTGTCATTAGTTAGAGGACTGCTGTATGGGATACTGTACAAGGGATCATCAGTGTATTCTATGAAAGGCAACTGGAATTTTCAGCATATTCATAGTGACTGCAAAAGCATTTTTTTGTCCTGCGCGAAATGCTGCATCATGACACAGTAATACAAAAAAAAGGTTAATTGCACAACTATATGAAAGATGGAACAAATAGCTCCATAACTAAGTCCTAATTAGTTTCACATGAAATCAATCTACCAAACCACACTCCTATTGCTATGGCTTATATTCCAGATCCTGTCAGCACTTACCAAAAACCTGCCTTTTTAATATTATCTTCCAGGAAAAAACCAAGTTTATTTTTTCCCCTAAGTGTAGCATTCATGCCACTTTTGTTGTCCCTACTGAAACCATCCTGACCAGCAGATGTTAAGTTAATATTCTGCCTGAGTGGAAATGGGATCTTTATAAAATTGGAATTTGCTCTAAGGCACATAGCACTTGTTTCCAGTCATACAAAATATGGAGATCCTGACTGTAAAACATGACATTGTTAGGTGTAGAAAAGGTCTGTAAATTTTTGATGCACAAAATGTTTTCATGACATTTTTTCCCCCACCCGGAAAATGTTTGTATGTTGAATCTGTTATTTTTCATGAAAATATATTGATATTTTGATGATAATTTTATTGTAAAGGCTTTTTGGAGGCAAGGTGGAATAGGTAATCAACATTAGAAAGAGAAGGCACAATCACAAAATAACTAAATAATGTTGGCTGTGGTATCAGATTAGGTCTTGTTTCTTCCATATGACTGGACTAGGAGGAGATGTAGTATTACTGTTTTTAGAGACAAATTAAAGGGCCTAATTTTCATTCTGTTGTAAAGCAAGAACCAAAATGTTGAAACCTCAACTCAAATGACATGGCAAAAGGAGGCTTTCGTTTTCTGGCTAGCTGTAGCTGTTAGCTGGCGATGTTTCTGACTGCTTCTGAATCTTTAGCACGAGAGCAGATCCTCAGCTGACGTAAGCTGGCATAGCTTCGTGACCTATGACAATCAAATCTGACAATCTTAGAGAATGGTGGAGTGGTAGCCTTAATGAAATGCTTTAATAGTTGATTTGGAGGATGGATATAAATGGGCTGAAGAATATCTCTAAACTTAGTCAATACATGATGACATAGATATGGGCTCTTTTGCAAATGCTCAGGCTGCCTTTCTCAGGCCCACTGCTTCCACCTGACCTCTTTAGATTATGGCCTTGCAAAGGGGGCTTAATATCCTCTTTGAGGAGATTTCCCCTTTCTGCCCTAAGGGGCAAGAACTTTTGAGGGTTTGATTTTTTATATTTTTTTTTCTCTTAAATTTGAATCCTTAATTTGAATTCTTAACTCCTGACTGCTGAGTGGCTGTGTCCTTCAAGAAAAAAAACAGTATTTAAATTTGCAAGTGGGATTTTGGTTCAGCTGCTCTTTTCCTGTGGTCTGTCAGTGCTTTTCCAAACAGGATTTTTGTCTGGATAATGGAGGTGAAGGTACTTCCTTGAGGGCCTATGATGTAACTACCCTGAAAGAAGAGTCACGTAGCTCCAGAAGGGCTGAAGACTTAACAGCTCCTCTCTCTCCTTTGACTCACCTCTGTTGTCTGTAACAGTACTTGACCCAGAGCTTTACAAATTAATTTTCTGCTTAGTACATAGTTTTGTTAGTCACCTTAAATGAGTGACTCATGATGGTGATTGTGAGGCTAATATTGACAAACTGACCAAAAACGGAAAGCACGTTTAGAAGAGAGGGATGACCTGCCTTTCTGACTTAGCAGTGACCACTCCAGCAGACTACAGAGCTGCACTATTAAGAGTGTCATACATTCCTCAGCTAGAGAAATGACGAATATGAAGGGGAGGAGCAATTGCAGTCGCTACAGTTTGTAGATGTGAGATGGGATCTTTAGGGCATCTGTGGGGATGATAAGCCATGTCTTTGCAAATCCTCATCAACTATGAAAATATCTCAAAGTGATGAAAAGTAAAGCTACAGCTAAAAAGGGCTGGAACTTTCATTACCTTTGGGTACTTTGTTACTTAGAGTTAAACTTCAGTTATTCAAAATCTGTTTTGAATATTTAAGTACTAGCATATTTGCATACTATTGTTTTCAGGGACCTGAAATCTTTGTGGTAGAAAGCTCCTGTGCAGATTTTGCCGTACCATCTGTAGTAGGAGGTCCATTTGCAGAAGATTAATTCATGGATTGGTGAAGAAAGCTTCTGGTCTTTTATGCTTCTTTTGTTACCATTTTTCACAGAAGCTGCAAATGAATAGCACCTTTTAGGACATTGAATCTATCTCTTGTCCACTGCAGAATTGTTCCTAACAGCACTGAGTTTGAAATCTAAGATTTTTTGCGGCACTTCACTAATATCTGTAAGGCCCAAGTTCAGTAATACAGACCACACAAACTCATCTGCATTCAGATTAATGACAAGAGAGTGTCTGAACGGATTTGCACATCTCTTCTGTACAGCAAAGAAGGGATAAGTAAAGTTCTTTGGTTTTTTTCAGGGTATTTCATAGTATTTATGTCTCATTAATGTATCATTTTGGGTACTAATTTGCAAGGAGCTGACAGAAAACAAACAGAGCTGATAGCCATTTCCTATTGCACAGATAATTATAGCCTGCATTAGTAAGTGCTTGGCCATGCTGCACTTGCAGCTTTGTTGGAGTGAACTGGAGTGAATTTGAAATTAATCAAATGTCTGGATTTTATTAATGGCATGTGAGTAATTGACTGTGGGTCTTCCTCCTCTTTATAGTAAAAGAAAGCTATAGAAGAGTTAACACAGTGGTTGAAACTGAGAGGGAAAAAGTGTGATTTTTCTTTCATTTCTACTTGTTTATTGCAGGAGTCACTTCACTGAAATAGTAGTTACACTTAAGTTACAGTTAAAACAGTTCAAAGATGATTCAGAGGCACCTAGGAAAGTTTGTAAAATTAAATGGTGTTCAGTACAAAAAACTAAAAATGGATAGCAAACAAAGTCATATGTCTGATGAATTTCTTATGACAAACAACAGCCCATTGTAAGATCAGTACACTCACTGGATCGTATGCACCTGACTTAGTTGTGGAATTACACCACTAAAACACTTGGTGACTGACAATGCAATTGCTAAAATCCATTTTGAATGGTGTTGCATAGCAGTTACCATTCAAATCTGTTACTGTCACTTTTACTGACAGTAAAGGGAAACTCAGTTCAGTGGGTTGCACTGAATCAAGGGATTGAATCTGTAGCACAAAATCATTTTCCAATTAGTTTTCAAACTGAGTATTTTATAAAAAAAATTGAGTATTTGCTAAAGACATGACACCAAAGTTCTTTTTCATTCTTTCTAATAGATCTGTCAACTGAGTATTTTGTATATAACTCATGTGAACTTCAAGCTCTTGCGTGGTGTGAATGTAGTTTTTTTTCTATCTATCACTTTTATTTATAAACTGGATTTTTAATGGTGAAGGTCTAGTTGTGGCTTGAGTCAGTATGTTTCTAAGAGTTCTCAGGTGTGGGTGCCTGTTGCCTTCTGGGTGGCTTGAGTCAGTCCTTGGGAGCTGCTTCTTGCTCTGTGCTTAGGCATGATTATTACCCATGGTGTTGCATTGATACACACTGGACAAAGCAGCTGGGGCCGTTTTTCAGCTCTGATGAGAAATTTTTTAGTGCCTTGATTCCTTCCCCAGGTCATTCTATTAGGTCACCTCCCTTTTCATCAGCACACACGACCATGGGTATTTCTGTCTACTGAGTACAGATCTGTCATTGTTGATTAATTGCTTGTTAAGTTCCAAGATACAGACATTCATTCAACAGAGAAATAGAGGTGTGATCTTGCAAAGACATGATAGTATGTACTTCTGACACCAGCAGAAGATTGGGTCTCTGAGACTTAAGCAGTGATACATTATTTCCTGATTGTTTAACTTAAGTTAAAGTGTGTTTGAAGTAAGTTTTTCAGAAAGAATAATATGTCTGAAAGTTGTACCACTTACAGAAAAAAAAAACATTTCCCCAGGAAAACATGGTGGCTAGATTTTTCAGTTGTTGCTGAATCTGTTTGTTGTTCTTTTTTTAACTGCAGAAAGTGAGTGAAAAAGTAGGAGGTGCAGAAGGAACCAAGCTAGATGATGACTTCAAAGAAATGGAAAGGGTAAGTCTAAATAGAGATGCGTATATTCATTATTACCATTCATTTTTCCTTTCTAGGACAGGAATTTCAAAGCTTTTGTCCCTGAATTT